GGATGGATGGATGGATGGAGAGACAGAGAGCGAGCGAGAGAGAGAGAGAGAGAGAGAGAGAGAGAGAGAGAGGAAGAAAGAAAGAAAGAAAGAAGAGGAAGAGAGAGAGAGGTGGCGAAAGAGAGAGAGAGAGACAGGGAGAGAGAGACAGGGAGAGAGAGAGAGAGCGAGGACGAGAGAGAGAGCGAGAACGGGAGAAAGAGGCAGAGAGAGAGAGAGAGAAAGATGGAAAGAGAGAGAGAGAGAGAGAGAGAGAGAGGGAGAGAGAGAGGGAGAAAGAAAGAGAGAGGGGGGGGGAGAGACAGAGACAGTGGTGACTTGTCTTTGCGAGGAAAAAGAAGCAAAGACCAGCATAACAAAAAAAAGTTTTAAAAAGTAAATGTTTACCGTCTTCCTGACCGTCCCTGTCGTGAAGTTAGGTCGACTTAAATCAATCTCCGGTGCCGTCTTCTCTTTCCGGAGTCCGCTAAAGGCCGGGCGACTCGTGTGCTTTCGGACAGTCGGCATTGTCTTCCAGTGGCTCCTGATTGGCCAAAAGTTGAATCTGCCGTTCCACACAGACTTAGTCCGCAAGAATTGCTTCTTAGTTTTTTGTTCTTTTTTAAAATATGTTGTATTTGTTGCCTATTTTTCCTAGCGCTGTTCCCAGATACGGATTTTACTAAATGCAGTTACACCTTTCTTTCCAGTAAAAATATAAAAGTCTCTCTGACTAAGTCAGTACTTCGTACGAAGAGATTTGCTCAAATTGTCTCGCGTGTCAGTCACTCGGTCTGCCCTGCTTGACCAGTGGCTATACGTCACTCTTCAATTTTGTTTATCACAAAGTTGAATTTTCCTTTGGAAAAAAAACACAAAACAACACAAATATTTTCTGGTTCTGGGTGCCTCATTTGGAAAATTGAGTTGGTGTTAAAAAATCTTATTTTGAATCTTGAATAGGAAACAAAATTAGAGGTTTTCTAATTAAAGTTGTAAATAATATTATCTTAAAACGCCATACCGACTACATTGTGTAATTCCCAAGGCAAATCACTCGGTAATAACAGAATGAAACTTAAAACTTCGTTATCGGCAAAGATTTTACGGCCACTCAGAATGAAAACGGACGTATTTTGCCAACATTAATTTGGGCAATAAAATATTTTAAAATAAGAACAGGAGAAAGAACGTAACGCACAAGGGAGCAAACTAGCCACACACACACTCCATAACGCCATGTACTAATGTAATCCAAGAAACCTGCATTATTCCTTTTGCACAATGTATTGTGCACCTATTATCATGTTTGCAATGAGCTCAAGTTTGACGCACCGGTCACGTACACTGAAAAAATTGTAAATAATTAAGGCAGCGCTCTTTGTTAGGCTTTGAGGTATACTTCGATCGAACACTAGGGGCCACGGGTAGGGATATGGAATTTCACGCATACACGCATAGAAAAAAACCTCAACTTGATTAGAGTTTCACAGCACGTTATAGATTAGCTTTTTGTACTCAACAATCTCAAATGGCTTTTCCTTAACCCTATTATGATTGTTTTACAGTGGACTGTAGGAACAGAAATACGAACATGTGTGAGTGTGTGTGTGTGTGTGGGGGGGGGGGGGGGGGTTTACAACGCACCCACATATTATATCCACACAAAATTATTGCACACTTCTACACTCCCACACACACACCAACACATATACGCACACACACACACACACACACACACACACACACACACACAAAAAAACAAACAAAACAACACACACACACGCACACGCACGCAAACACACACACAGACGCACACACACATACAATCATACACACATACACAAATCAACAAACAAAGAAGACATAAACATATATACACAAACACACATACACACACACACACACACACACACACACACACACACACACTCCACCACCACCACCACCACCAACAACAACAACAACAACAGCAACAACAACAGCAACAACAATAACAACAACAAATCGAAACAAATGGGTTGCACGACATATTAAATTCTCAATAACCTGTTTTAACAAGGTGAATATTAACAGGGAATATCGAGTTATCAAGCAGAGGCCCTGCTAACATGAAGGTCCTCGGTTTTATGCATCATCCCAACCAAAAGGAACTCACCTTTTTTAAAAGAAAAATAATTAAATAAAACGTATTTTGAAAATAACAAAATACAATCTAATAAAATATAAATGCCCCCCACCCCCCTCCCAGTTCTTTAGGCCGCGGACGCAGGTACCAGGTTCCCTTCCGAAAATCAAAATAGAATGTTTATAAATAAAATAAAATAATATCGAATTCAATTTTAAAATAAACAAAAATAAATAAACAAAAGGATAAACAAAAAATACACAAATAAACAAACAAATAAAAGTACAAATAAACAACAAATGAATAAATTAATACATTTTGGGGGTAAATGTTTTACGGCACTCGCAACTGCATAAGGTCATACGAGCGCCCGGGACACATTAAACATTTTGCGGTTGGTAGGGAATTTTGAATTTTGCCCAGGTGGCGGCCGAGGTCTACTCTTATCGATTTTAGACCACCAAGGGATCTTTAACATGCGCAACTTGTACAAGGGACCTCCGAGATTTTTCTCCCTTGTCGGAGAAGGCTAGGTGTAGATCTTTCCTGCCAGAAGATCAGGGGTGTGGCTGAAAGACAGCAGTAAGAAGGAGCCAAGGAGTAGCAGTAAAAAGGCTGCAGAAAGAGTCAGGTGCCCAGAAGAGGGGACAAAGGAGGTGACGGGGTGGGGGCGGAAAGTGGAGACAAAACCAGACAACAGAATATTGCTAGAGAGCAGGAAAGGAGATGAAAGGAGACAATTTTAGAGAAGAACATTTTTCAGTCGCTACCCAGATTCGAACCAAGGACTTTTGAATGAGAGGCGAACACCTTAACCTCTAGGCCACAAGAGCCCTAAAGAATAAATAAATACATAGATAAACAAATAAACAAATAAATATTTGTCCGCGGGGCTTTACGAAGCAACGTTAGCATCATAGACGCTTTGTAACCATAACTACGTCCTAATACTTGATGGATGGGACCCAGGTTGCTGCCGAGGTGGCGTCGATTAAAATTATCAACGAATACCTTTTGAAAGGTAATAACTTGAACTCTTTGAGTATTGCCTATATCGCGTGACAGGGTGACACTGTACAGCATTTTTCAGTAAGAGTTTTGCGGCACTTGCAACACAATTAATTCATATTAGTGTCGAAGATAAGAGGTGCTGCAAGAGAGAAACAAACACAAAAAAGGAGGAGAGAACTGGACAACAGATGTTTGATGGGAAAAAAAGGAGCAAATCATACTAGAGCTCCCACCAACCACCCACACTTAAAATGTAAGGATCTGATGTTGAAAAAAAAAGCTTCATTGAACACATTTAAAAGTATTTTTAGGATGCTACTGTTCTTATATGCCATGTTGTTAATTTGAATAAAAAGAAGTACTTCGCCACATTAAAGACCGTTTAATGATGGGATACAGACAGACAGACAGACAGACAGACAGACAGGCAGACAGATATAAAGAAAGACGGACAGATAGACAGGCAAGAAGTAAGACTCAGCAGTGGTGCCCTCGATCCCCCCCGTCAGGTCCTTTAAAAGTACCTTAACATGGTTGCTTACGTCATAAAGTAGCCTCTTCCACTCTCCATGAACGGTACTGTGGGCTCTGTCACCGTGGTCTGTAAGGCTAAGCGTGGTTTTCAGGCTTCATCGATAAGCCCATTAGTCACATAGTAATGTGAGTTTATTGTGGGTGACCAGACCGTGCCGGCTGTTGACACTACGTCTTCTTATGTAAGTCAGGTTATGAGTAGGGTCATAGAGGGAGGGGGGGAGGGGATGGGTAGGTGGGGGGCAGGAGGAAGG